ATTATACTGTCTAAAAAAAGAAGAAGCTATCAGTATTTGAACAAGGAAAGGTATGACTGTATGACTTCAATAGCTACATACTCTTTGCAAGTAAGTGATTTTAAAATAAGAGAGACAGCTAGGCCACTTGCATTTTCACAAAGCTTTTAAATAGAAGACTCCACTGTGCCATGAATGGAATCTGAATCTTGTGCAGGAGCATATGATCACAAGTGTTCTCATGTTTTCACAGGCTGGCTTGCTTGCTTACTAAATCCTACATTTCCTGATTATCAAAAGCAATGATTGGATACTATAAAGGATTCTTTATCTGGACATTCCCCAATATCATTACGACTATCATGTAAACGCTGTGGTCAATACCTGTGCACTTCAGTGTCCATTGGCCACCTAGTATACGACTTTGTTTTCTAACAGTATAGAAGATTTGAAGGTTATTTGCAATAAATGTCTAGTGAACAGAGAAGCATTGCGCAATAAGGAGCTCAGGGAAACAATAATGTGTAGCGTCGATCACAGAAAATCTTTCAGCAACCTGGAAAATATCTTCTGAGAAGGGAATGATCCTATAAATCAGGGATAGGCAAACTCCGGCCCTCCAGCTGTGGTAAAACTACAAATCCAATCATGTATCTTCCTCTGGGAGTCGTGGCTGTCAGAGTCTTGCAATGCCTAATGGGATTTGTAGTTCCACAGCAGCTGGAGGGCTAGAGTTTACCCGCCCCTGCTATTGATGAACATGAAATATTGAAGTAAGAGAATTTGATCTGAAAGGGAGAAATGGCAGAACTGCTAGGCCTGTCTGTGATTTGAGGATCTTTTTGGCTCTCTGGAAAAAGAGCTGCCCATTTGTGCTCAGCTGTCATGTGATGGCTGTTTAATGTCCGTTGCCAATTTTAAGACAATGAGGTCCATATTCTTATAGAAAATATTGAAACGAACTACAGTCTAATGACATTTATTATTGGACCTGCATTGTTAATAAAAATACAATGGGTAGGAAGAAGGTTAAACTAATGTTGACTGTAAAAAGAATAAATATATGGGCCTGTCTGTTGTCATTCTGAAGGTGCCTATAGATGTTAGTGGGCACTTGGTGGAGTTCACCCGAGCCCACACCAAAATATCAGTGACATATCTCCCTCCCAGCCCAATCAGCTATGGCCGAGGCATTCCCCACCCTACAGCCAACCGTAAGAAAGTGGTTGATTGGGCCGGGAGGGGAATGTGCCACTGACAGTTTTGCGTGGGCTTGGATGAACTTGGTTCATATCAAGCCCAAGCATATACCTAGTGGCCACCATTAGGCTGCATGCTTGTATGGCCAAGTATGAGGCCTAGCCTGCCTCAATGACAAGGGTAAATGGCAGTGTTTAACTTCAATAAGTTGCTGTACAGAGTGTTCTCTGGATGGCTCATTGGTAGCTAGAGTTGAACACATACCATACATCAGTTACAGGGATTCGGGACTGAATCCAGTTTTTTGGATACCAAATAGCTATGAGTAGAGTGGGCTTTAGTGAAAATATATTAGTAAAATAAAAAAAGGATCCTGGGCTAATGTGAGTTTAAAGTTAACATCCAAATGTAATTTTAAGAAACATTGCTTCAGGCAGGAATGATCTATGGTGCTCACCTGAATTTCCTCATCCTGAGCAGTGAACAGGTCCCTCCCCAGGATGTCATGAGTGGTCCTCGAAAGAATAGTTGGACCACTAAATGCAGACAAATTTAATCTTACTG